CTTGCTGGTGAGCTTATTGTTCTCTGTCATACACTTCTTCGTGGGAAAATGTTGAGTTTAACCAATTGTATCTATCTTTGGTCGCAGTTTGTCTCCGAATCCAAGTAAACAAAGAAAACAAGGAATTCAAGGTAAGCTTTCTTTGGGAAAGATCTTCTCTCATAGTTTCCAGCTCATCAATTCATTATTCGATCTACTTTCCTGAGATGCAAGGAGAAACTGAAGTTTTGGATTAACAACAAATGCATGGCGTTCTCATCCTAATCATCTAATAACTTGCTCATTTCATAATAGAAGTAGAGAATTATTATATATATATTGTTGTTTCCTTATATTTTGCCACTACTGCAGGATTTGCCACCAGAACGTGCTTATGCAGATTTTGTTCTCTGCAATTTAGTGCTCCATTTGGTGATCATGAATTTCCTTGGATAGATTGACGTTCCTAATCTCGAGTGAATGCTGCTTATCCAAATATTCTTGTCTGTAAGGATGCTGTTAAGGCAAGCACTTTAGCAATATGAGAGTTCTGTTTGCCCTTTTTCATCATCATTTATGAACCTGATAATTTGTCAATTAGACATAGGTACTTTGGATAGCTGTTCTTTGCAGTTTTAAAAGTATGAACTTTACCTCAATATACGTACCCGTTCTCCCCTTGGATTTCTTTTTGCACTCCTTATTTTTGATAATTTAGCTGTTCAAGCCTATAGTTTTCTTGCATTATTGTTTCTATAATTAGTTATTTCTGACTCTGCCTTATAATCTCTCTTGTAGGGCTGGTAAATTATCTTTCTGGGCTTTTAGAGTGATAGGACTATATACTAACTGTGAACAACTAATTTTTTACCACACCCAAATTCTATACTATTTTAGTGTAAATATTTCTTTTAGGTCTAATCTTGATATTTTTAAACTTTATCTCACTTTTAGTAGAGTTTATAAAAATACAAAAATATTCACACTTTTAGAATACAAAGTTTATTTCTATTTGTAAAGAGAAAAAGAAAATTTACAAACAAAAATATTTTGTTTCTTTTAATTAGAATTTTAATAAGTAAATTATGGTATATTTTCTTAGTATTGTTTAAAGTACATATAAATATTTAGTTTTTCTATATTGTAAGAAATGTTGGTTAATCTTCTTATATTTCTAATTTAATTTATCTTTTAAAAACAAAAAAAAATAAGTAAAAAAAAAATGAAGTTACGTTAAAAGAGATAAAGTTTGTTATCTCAAAACTTTATCTCAAAAATCTGATTTAATAGTCCCATTACCCACTCCCTTCATCTCTCTCACCCCGCACTCCCACTCCCTCACGTCACATGCACACACAATATATAACCACGATCCCATTACAGTTAGGGGGGATCACTCACTTACACATTTTACTTGCATATATATATAGAGAGAGAGACACACAGTTAGGCACTCAAAGGGAAGATCTTAGAAGGAGGAAAATAGCGTGAGAGAGAGAGAGAAGAACGAAAAGGCTGCTTTCTTCTTCAGTGTTGGTTTCCATCTCTATTGTAGCAAAACCCAGAAATTTTCAGCCATAAAAATTCCATAAATCGAGCTTCAACTCCAACCCATATCACTAAATGTAGCACCTTAAACCCACCTGAAATTAGTGTCGATTTCCGTTCAAAGTTCCGGTCTTGAGTCAGCTGTTGGGTTGTATCATCAAATTCCTCATGTTCGTGATTGTTCGGCGCGTTCTGTCGAGAACTTTGTTATATTATAAAGAAGAAAACATTACTCTAAAGGTTCAATTTCCCCTTTTGCTTGTGATAAATTACCATCGACATCTTATTGAATGTGTTTATCTGTTTGTTTGAAAGCTATATGTTGTGCCGTCCCTTCATCGTTGATTATCTTTTTGTAATATAGATATTTTGGTGCTATTGCCTACATGTGTGATAAATCTGTAACTCACTGGATTTCCCATCTTCGTTTAGTTTTGTAGTATTTATGTTGTTTTAGACAGATTTTGATAATGAAATGTAATGAAGAAGAAAAAAAAGGTTTTTAAGACATTTTATCTAGCTTTTTATACATTTCTTAATTGAACCAATAAAGCTATTGTGTGGCATAGATATAAAAGGACGTGAAAAGAGCATGAATTGTTGTTTGATAAACATATGTAAAAGTTAAGTGAATTGGCTGGAGGTATATCCTTCCGTTTTTGTTTGCTGTACTACTATGCTTAGGAACACATGCTTTTGTATTGCGAAATTTATGTAGTTTGTCTCCATACTGTTTGTTTGGATATAGTCATTAAGTTAGTTTCTGGGTTAATTAGCAATTGGAGTACTCGAGTGCCTACATGTTAAGAAAGGTTTGTTAAAATTGAACAAGTTGTTATTTGGTTTAGTTGGCCTAGACACAAGTTTAGTAGGCAATGAACTTTTGATAGTTAATTTGAATTAATTGGGCCAAATCAGAATCATCGGGCCCAAGATGAATAAGCTAGTCTATTACTTATAAATTAATAGATCATCCGAATCCTTCTAGAATAGTAAGATAAATGAATTGGCTAATAATTCCAATAACCGAATCTTACCATTTCTATCCATAATAGTATCCATAAATCGTGACCTTCACAATAATTTCAAGCTTAGGAATGAATTACTCTAAATATGCTAGAAAGTTTTAGACGCACTTTAAATATTAGCCCATGTGTTCATACCCGAACCTTGGATTGATATGCTTGAAAAATAAAATAATCATGTGCGCATTCCCGCGTCTCGATGCCTTTAAATTTAAAATAATTATGTCTTAACCATGTGTATATTTCGTACTTTGGTTTAACATCTAACTTCAAAGAAATACCTTGTGTGCGTATCGCATCTGGGTCCAAACAATTAATAAAATTTAATAATTAATTAAGCGATAATAGACACATCACAACCAGTAATATACTAGCATAGTCAATAATTGATTTAAGCCTTATGTTAGTCAATAAAAGCGACCGTGCTAGAACCACGGGACTCGAGGGATGCCTTACACCTTTCCCTCGGTCAACAAAATTTCTTACTCTGTCTTCTATTTTTGTAGACCATAAATAAAGAGTCAAAACTTCCGTTTGTTAAGGGATTCAAATAAAAGGTGACTTGGAACACCAAAACTCAATTCCAAGTGGCGACTCCAAATAATAAATAATCCCTTTTCAAAACGTCACTTTAATTGGAAAAACTCTTCTAACTCAACCTCGTAATAGGATTGCGGGAAAAAAGAGGTGTGACACTAACTAAACTGAATTAGCTAACCATTGTTTAGTGAAGATTCTTGCAAATAATGTATCCTAAATTTCATATCAATTAATCAAATACTCTACTTGATTATAATCGGCAAAAGAATAATTAGAACAAAGAGCTCTACAAGCTTGGGTCATCGACAGATTCACATGTAGTGTAGTAGGAAAATAAAATATTTATTCATACTACTGAACTATAAAGGCTGTTTGTGAAGAGAGAATATTGTTCAAATTCAGTTGCTCCTAATCTTAAATACTTATATTCATCCAATTATTGCTAAACACGTATTAAAAATTGTATTCCAAAGTGAACCCAGTTTACTATGTAGCTAGGACTAAACTTTTAACATTTACTTAAAGAATGTAACACTAATATAAGCCATGGCAGAGACAACATTCATCCGACACTTATGAATATATAAAATTGTCCAACACTGCTTGAAACTAATATAAAAAATATTAATTGGGGAATACTAAAAACATTGATTGAGCTTTAAGGTCTTTCTTTCTCTGGGAATAATTTCATAGGCTAAGTGCAAAAGCATTGTTCTCCAAACTTGTAAATAAAGTGTTGGTGTTACAACGTTTTCTCTACGCCGGTCCGTAGGCGAGAGTCTTGAACAACTTATAAATTTTAAGAAAATTACAATAAATAGTAAATATAAACTCATAACTCTATTACTCTTACCTCTTCCCAAGTCCTTTTCTGGGGGAGATTTGTTTGTGCCTTGAAATTGATTCATTTTAGTCAATGTGCTTAACGACATATCTGGTCATCAACAAAGAGGAATCTAACAAACATACGACATTTGTTGGCATGTAGATATTCAAGGAATAATAATTGACAATAATAAAGATGCACATGTTGTTGTTGTGGACTGTGGAGGTCATGATTTTAACCCATATTGCTTCAATCCATTGACCACTGTTTTTCTGGTCCCACGCTCGAATAAATAGTAGTTTCATTTTATTATTATTATTATTATTATTATTATTATTATTATTATTATTATATATAAAAAGGGAACAGAGCAACAGAAAAAACTAGTTAGAAACCAAAGCGAGGGAATGAAACCCAACAACGTCCTCCGCAACACGCGAAAAAATGCTAGAAGTCACATGCTATAAGTTATTGTTAGTGTTTCTTTGAATTTTTTCCCTTTTATTTTCTGATATTCATTTTTCAAAACGCGAAGTTTGCGTCGTGTTATGGTATCTGTTGCTCGAATTTTTGAGGACATATTGGGCCAATATTTTTTTTTTAAAATTATATAATAATCGATGAATTTGTTCGCGTTTCACACAATTATCAAGGACATAATTTAGCACTATTGCACCAATATGAGCGCAAATACTATTTCACTTTTTGCCAAATTTGAAGTTTAGTATTTGAACTACAAGTGTGAAATATTGAAATATTGATTCGATAAAAGTGTTCATGTGAAGTACTGATTTTCGACTTGCGAAATCTTCAATGTTCATAAGCTTTTTCTTTTCTAAATGAACTTCATGGTCAAACCAAACTTCAATATCGCAAAAATTAATTTTAACTTTTACTTTAAATACTTTTTTTTTTCAACATTAACTTAAGCTAGCGTTTGAATATAAATTTAGTTGAAACTTGAAAAAAGAGTTTTAGGAGTTGTGTTGAAAAATAATTTTTGGAAGTTAGGACATGCATTTTATTTGGAAAAAACTTGAACTTTTGTGAGTGGAAGAAAATTTTTTACACTGTCCTAAACCAGTTTTTGGGAACTTAAAAAAAATATTCTTCAAAAATTGATCATATTCCATGAACAAACAGTATTTTTAAAAGAAAATTGAAAAAAATATATCCAAAATCTATGGCCAAACGGGTACTTGGAACTTGGGAAAAAATTCTTTAAAAAAGTGTGGGGTCAAAACAGTCAAAAGCAAAAGATTGGGGGCGTGAAAAGCGCAAATCATGGGCTGGGTAAGGCCCACACGGTGTTGGCCCACTAAAAACAAACTTTTTAAGACATGAACGCACGAATTGGAAAGGGAATCAGAGATTCATACACGTGGCTAACGGACACGCAATATTCCTCCGCAAGTTTTGGCGTCTACTCAGCAACAGATTCTACAGCTCAGCAGATTTGGATTTGGAATTCATGACCTTTTCACTTCATCAATAGACCAATGGGCCCCATGTCTATTCCCTTTTGTAGCTTTGTAAAAATTAATTTAAGCACTAACTTAAATTTGTTATGAAATATATCTCAAAGTAACAATATAGAACAAGAAAAAACAAGCTAACAAATATAGAGATGAGAGATTCTTATTTCTTCTTCAATTGTGTGTTCTTTTCATTTATTACAAGCCCTTTATATAGGCACGAAAAATGAAGAAATATGTCATTAAACATTTGAGATCATGGAGGAAGATCATG